GGAAATGAAGAATATAGTGACCAGTGTTGTGCAAAATATCCAATTCAAAGCAAATGATAGAAACCAAAGGAGTGCAGGCATAGTGATCAGATTGATAGCAGCAGCAAAGTGAAAGGTGTATTTTACTATAACTGCTGCTAAAAACAACCAGGGGGTCGAGAGGTGATGGTTATTCTTTTTAATTGATTATTGCCATTTTAGTCACTACTCAACTGCAGCGCTCGCCTGCCGTCTGCTGGCCAAGGAGCAGTCACAGCAAGCTGGAAATTAGCACTCCCAGCAATATATTACACCCTCCCTTCTTCAAAAGAAACACAGACCAGAGCCCTGATATCCACAAGCAACACAGCAAGTCTTTCAGGTGGCTTCAACGTTCTGCCTTACTTGGTGGTGTATGGCACTGAAACCTGAACTTGACCAGTGTCCTAAAGTTGTTTTTCTGACACAGCTGACTGTTCAGTGGACACCTGTAAAGGCATCTCCTGTCCTGTTGAAATATCAGTTGACTGTCCAATTCTCATCACTTATAAAATGGCAGGACTGTTTTGGAACTACTGTACAAAGATGCTGGCTGTTGCAACAAAACTCCTTCCCACCTCAGTCCACAGTGTAGGACCTGGGTGCGGCACATTCGCGAACAACAACTGCCGGAGCCAATTTCGCATTGCCCAGATGAGGTTGCATCCTGACTTCATTTTCTGGTGCTAGAGGAAGACAGTCTGTTGTTGCTCTCCTCTTGTCGTAGGACCCTTGCTAGACTTTAGACTTATCCAGTAGCTCGTTGACCCTGACAGTTTTGTGTGCTTTTGGGACAAAGCTTGTTACCTGCAGGCAGCTTGTTTCTTGGTCTCCTACCATTCAGCAGTTGAGCTGGTGAAAAGCCAACTGACTCAAGGGGGGTGGTTTACAAGATGATAGTGAGACCTATGATGTATAAGAGGTTACTGTAGATTACAGTAGATCTTCAGGTATTCAACTTTTCTGAAAACTTTTTAGTTTTACTCTCCACATTTTAACGCAAATCTGTACTTTCTATTTCTTATATTTTCGAAACAGACCTGTTACTTTAGGTTTAATAACTCAGTAAATATCAGGGAACATACAAACTGTTTGTGTACAGTCTGTTGCACTGTGTGTTGCTAGCTAAAGATTCACCTGCTGTATTTCCCAGGGAGATCCACAAAGACGTAGGCGAGACAGGAGAGGAAAAAGAGATATATTTAAAAGATATATTTAATAGTAAGGACTGCTCAGTGACACTTGATAAACTGTAGATTTAAAGATTACATGTAAAGTCATTATTAAGGGGTGGCTGTAACTCAGGCGGTAGAGCAGGTCATCTGGTTATCTACTCATGTGCATGCCAAATATCCTTGGGCAAGATACTACTCAAGATAGAAAGCTTAGAAAAAGTGCTTGCATCAATGGGCGAACAAGGTAATTTGTATCAAGCACTCTGAGTGCTCAGGTGCTGAAGAAGTCTATTTACCATTTTGAATTACATCTGTAAACAGTCTTTAAATGAATTATATATTTTCATATTGTGACGTTTCCTGCAAAACAAACTAAGTATACTAATTTTGTGTTATTGAAATGTTGCATGAAAATGCTCTGTAGTTTTGTACAGGATAAACGGGTTAGCTGGCAGTACTGTGGTGAAATCACAGTAAGACACTGTGTGGGTGGGACTGGTGCTAATTGGCTGCGGAGAAAGAAGACCCAATTTGAGGTCTAGTTGATCTGTGACAAGTAGCAGGGCAGACCTGCAACAGGTCACTAGTCTGTCACTTTAACTCATAAACATCAATAATTAATTAACTATAATTAATTAACTTAAACTCAAATTGCTATTTTTTCATGAATTTGTTTAAATATTATGTGTGAAACCAGATAAATAGTAAGGTTCATGGACACCACATGCAGTCAGACGAAGAAGTCTATTCTAGCCAAGCAACTTTGACTACAAGCCTCATGCAGCCTTTCACACAGCACTCTTACTCTATGCCATAGGTGTCAAACTCTGGCCCTAATTACATTTGGCCCGCGAAGCCATACCAAATTACTATTAGAGCTGGCCTACTGGTATTATACAGCTAATATATATATTGTTTAGTATTAAGCTTTGTTTGTTCCATATTCAGTTTTCCAGCAAAACTTATTTGAGTCCATAAGAAAAGATTCATTCTTATATC